TTAGAAATCGATACCTGCCAGGCAAAAAAGTACTTGAAAGTGGTAAAAATAGCACAGAGGGCACTACGTATGTCAGAAAGTGATAATTTTTAGACAAAAATTCTCAAAAAAATTCGTCAATATAAAATACTTGGAAGAGTGATAGTTTAAGGTGATGCGCGCAATTGGATGGTACTTATGAGGTGCGAAACTTTTCCTCAAAAATCTTCCGAAAGATGGCGGGGATGCACTGGGTACATGGAACAGCTGATCTTCTGGAGAGATCAGCTGCCTTCCCAAAAAGCGCCAAATTCCAGTTGATCAGCGAATTCCTGAAAGGGCGCATACCCTTGCACGTCTGTTTCGCTGCAAGCAACGCTCAGCAGCAAAAATCATCTCGACTTCTCGATCTTTCATCGCCTGAAAGATACCGAGCAAGCGTTGATTCTCTTTGCACCAGTCTACCATTTTGCGCTCCATATCCAAATTCTCCTGCTCCAATACCAATAGGTCTTCCTAAAAACAAACTTGCATCCACTTTTGCAAAGTTTTGATAAACTTATTTGTCGGAAGCATAAAATATCTCGAAATTGCGTGAGGTATAACCCGGAAACAGGCCGATGCACAATTATATATTGAACGCAATTGCAACAAAAAAAACTGTCAGATTCTTGGTTATGTTATAAAAAATGACATTTTTATAAAGATTTTAAGTTTTAATTTTCGAAGTAGACAAGAAAACTTTTATTACTATCAAAATTGTTAAAATAATTTTATTAATTTACAAATTTTGTAATTCTCATTTCTTGCCTTCCTATCTGTTCATCTCTTTTCATCACTTTTTAATACACCTTCCTAACAATATATCTTCTTGTTCTTTTTACGCATAGATTAATAACATATAATTAAATGTAAAACTAAAACTGAAAGGCTAATAGGAAAATAATACTTTATGAAATTAATTACAAAGTTGACAAAATCTTAAACTTCGAAAAATTGGTAAATTGAAATGTTTTGGTCCACAAAGTCGTGCACATTTTCTTGCCACTATCGGAGTTGAACTTCGTTAGTACGTTGGCTGCTGTGGCAGGAGACCGACTGGTTTTAGAAAACAATTAAAACAATATACCAAGACTGCCTTAACAATCAGTGTGGGTATCCCATGTCAGTGATGTTATTCAGACGTTTCTACACGCTAGACGCAGCTGTGCCAGTCTCTTCGATACATAAAGCAGAAGTATTAGGGGCTAAAACTGTTAAAGGAGTTAAAGGAATAAAGGATAAAATACAGAAGAAATAGAAGAAATAAAGTGACTGCTGGGACTGATAAGCCATAACGAAGCGGGCACTGCTAAGTAACAGTCATCTGTACGCCAAAATGAATTTATAAAAACTGCCGATCCGAATACATGTGGCCAATCGAGTAGTGCTAATGTACCAATTGCACGAGACAAGATAGGAAACTGAAATTTTACGAGGATATTCTCTGCGCTTATTCTCCGTCGCATGTTGAGGTACCAGGTTTGTCGCTCAACTTAATTTAAATTAAATGAAATTAAAGCATAAACAGGTGATTTCATTCCTGGCGATTAAAATACAAGGAAAAAAGATTAGGATGAAGCCTACCTTATGAACTTTCTGCATGACATCGTTTTGCCAGCGTCCGACCAGAATTCTCTTGTTCTCAAGAAGGCGATGTGTATACTCAATCTGCTCCTCAATTATTTTCACTTGCTGAGCGTTCTCCAGCAGTCGTTTATCGGCCAGAATTTTCTACAACGCAAAATCCCCACTCAAACATGATTTCAGGATATGAACAACAAAAATCGCTTAAACCAGAGGACGGAATTTTCATACTACTGTGTACGATACCACACTCTAAGCAGCGCGTCAACTTCCTCACCTGGACCTTCTTGACGGGAAAAAACATGGGGAATTAGTCGAAGGCTCACAAAATTAAATGTGATTAAAAATTTCGTCAAAAACTGAGTAACTAGCGCCTTTTTCCAGAATTTTAGCGTTATGCATTAAAAATCCTAAATGTCGTTGGCATCCAAAAACTGGTACTGTTCACTGTTTGTACTAGGAGTTCCAAATATTGTGGAGTGTTTGTAATTGGTTGGTATGCATATGCAAACATAAATACTCCAACTGCTGTGTGGAAAACCAGAGCCGATAGCGTGGAGTGAAAAATCATGGAATAACATGTCACGTTTCGGAAAATCCGGGAAAATCGAAAACAAGAGGTTCCATTCCCTTCCAATCCACGCATTTTTCGTTAAAACAACGTCGCTCGCGACACCATATTAAATGGGACGCAAAAATATATGGAAATAACGTAATTTTAGCACTGCTTTTTGACATCGAGTGTGTTCCGCTTTATAA